GTTCCATTTGTTTATACAATCCTGAATCAGTTACACATTAAGTGAGCCCTTACTCTGGGCTGATGAAGTGTTAAACACACACATTTAATTATTTAGATTTTATCCATAACAATATCCTTATTAAAAGAACATATAAAAATTATATCACATACAAATGACATAGGCTCTTAAGCAACATTACAGAAAGACTTCAAACAGTTACAAGAACTCATAAATTTCCAGAGAAGAAATGTTAATATATACACAGATAGAAGTTGCCTGGCTGAAACCAAACAGAAATACAGAAAAAAATAGTTTTACTGACATTTATCCAGCAGAAGAAGACTGTTATTGTCAACTATACTATAATATAATCAACCATATAGTCCAGGGAATGGCATTTAATGTTTTTCTTCTCCATTTTTGTTTTGTTAAAATAGAAATCTGTTCCTTTTACAAATATTTATAATTCTATGACAAAATTTTACCTTGTCTTCTAGAAAATATAGCATAACTTTTATGGGAACAAGCTTTTTAGTCTCACACCTGTTTGAATTCTCCTTTCATATATACCAGCACATGCAAGCTATATATTGATCTTAGCTCCATGGGATAAGGGTTAGGAGATAGAAATAGGAAGGGCAGGCACACAAAAAAATTTAGTAGAAACCATTGGTGAAACATCTTTGCTTACCAGATCTATAGCAGAATCAGTGTTTTAGATTATTCAGAGTGTTAAGCAGGCTCTGACAGAGCACATATAGGAGACAATTTTAAATATAAATAAATGACCTAGATGAATCATTAGTTATTTAGCAGCTGTAGATAAAATGGATGTTCCAGGGACTTGGAAATTGACCAAGAAATAGTCCTGCAATGGGATTTATTAAACAACTAAGATGGTATTATTTTTTTCACAACAGAAAGATATTTCAAGAGTCTTATGGGACTTTAAAATGATTGTTTTCACCTGGACTGGAGTGACTCAGGGGGAAGAAGTTTGGGAAGCCATCATTTAAGAAGCATCATGAAGTAAACATTCACTTCTGCTTCAAGGAATTTATAGTTTCTTAGGAGACATTGAGTACTTAAAAATAAAACAATTGGTAAAAAAAACTCACACTGTGACATCAATCAAGTGTTTGATCAATTGTCAGAGATAATGAGTGAACTGGATTTTAGATAAAGAAAAATGTATAATATTCTTAATCAAGAAAGTGTTCTTGCAAGACAATTGTCATGAACTTTACCTGCAAAGAGAATTAAAGTTTTTATTGGTAGGGAAAAATGTATGTATGTAATAAAATAGTGGAACTTCTTTGCATGAGTAAGTTATTCAGTTAGAAGTTTAGAAGAACAAGAATGCCACTCAAAAATATAACTTGATGTTAAGGTTACCAAAGACCCATTGTAAGATTGTAGGCAGGGTTATGATGATGTAAAATAGGTATTTTGTAAGGATTCAGATTGTTTGGAGAAGAGATAAGTTAAGACAATATATTATTTTTAAATAGGTATAAGAAGATCACATTGACTCTTTAGGTATTAGTAATGTGAATGTAATTAAGAAGATTAAAATTTCCGAAAGTTTAACATCCCACTGACATCACTTTTGATCTTCCAGACAAAAAAAAATCAACAAGGAAACAATGACCTTAAATGACACATTAGAACAGTTGGATCTAATGATATATACAGAACGTTTCATCCAAAAGTGGCAGAACGTTTATTCTTCTCAAGAGCACGTGGATCATTTTCAAAGATAGACCACATATTAGAATATAAAATAAACCTTAATAAATTCAAAAAGTTTGAAATCATATCAAACATCTTCTCAGATCACAATGGCATGAAACTAAAAATCAGCTATAATTAAAAAACTCAAAAACTTTCAAACTCATGGAGGGTAAGTACCATGTTATTAAACAATGAATGGATTACCAATGAGATCAAGGAAGAAATAAGAAAAAAAACACTTCCTGGAAAAAAAATTAACACACAACAATCTAAAATCTGTGGGACACAGCAAAAGCAGTCCTAAAAGGGAAGTTCATAATCAAGCCTGCCTCAAGAAAAAAGTCAAATAACAATCTAATCCTACAATTAAAGAATTAGAAAGAGAACAAGAAAAGCCTTGCGTAAATAGAAGGAAGAAAATGATAAATATTAGAGTGGAAATAAATAACATAGAGAATAAAAAATATATAAAAAGTATCAGTGAAACCAAGAGCTAGTTCTTTGAAAAGATAAACAACATTGATAAACCTTGATCCAGACTCATCAAGAAACAAAGAGACAGGACCCAAATAAATAAAACATGAAATTAAAGAGGCAAAAGAACAGTTGACACAATAGAAATTCAAAGGATTGTAAGAAAATACTATGAACAACTATATGCTAACAAGCTGGATAACCTGGACAATTTCCTTGAAAAATACGAACTTCCCAAACTGAATCAAGAAGAATCAGAAAACCTGAATATGCCTATAACAACTGATGAAATCAAAGCAGTAATTTAAAAAAAAAAAATAACTGCCAACAAACAAAAGTCCTGGGCTGGATGGCTTCACTGGTGAGTTTTACTAAACATTCAAAGAACACCTACCCTTCCCAAACTATTCCAAAAAATCCCAGGGGAAGAAGCACTTTCAAGTTTTTTTTACAAAGCCAGCATTATCCTGATTTCAAAACCAGATAAAGACACTACAAAGACAGATAATTATAAGCCAATATCCTTGATGAAAATAGATGCCAAAACCCTCAACAAAATATTAGCAAAATATTGGTACATTATATGCAAATCAATAAATGTGTTACATCACATTAACAAAATAAAGGATAAAAATCACATGATCATATCAACAGGTGCAAGAAAAAGCATTTGATAAAATCCAGCATCCATTTTTGATAAAAACTCCCAGCAAAGCAGAAATAGAGGGAATCACACCTCAACATAATTAAGGCCATATATGACAAACCTATAGCCAACATCATACTCAATGGGCAAAAACTAAAAGAAAAGAAACAAGACAGGGATGTTTGCTTTCAGCACTCTTACTCAACATAGTACTGGAAGTCCTAGCCACAGTGATCAAGTAGGAAGCAAAAATCAAAGGCATCTAAATTGGAAAGGAGGAATTAAAATTGTCACTATTCGCAGATAACATGATATTGTACATAGAAAATCCTAAAGACTCTGTGGGGAAGCATGGGACTTGGTTGGAAAGTCTGTAAGGAGGATTCTCTGAAAGGTCAGGGGTCTCTGGGGGAAACTTGCAGAAGGCAGCAGCTCCTACCTTGACTTTTCCAAACAAGTCCGAGCTCCCGGGTGTTTTGCTAGAATCTCTTTGTTTAGTCTTCTACACCCAACCTTATAGAAGCATATGCTTTCTCAAGGATACTTACCCTGCTGATTAAGAGGTTAATTTTAGTTCAAGCTGTTGTTACAATAAAAGGCTAACAAGGCAGGCAATCAAGGCTATTTTTGGTGCCTAATGCCAACCAGCCCCTTAGCCTCTCTTTCACAGAAATGTGTGTCAGAGTAATCTATTCATCCGTCACTCCAGGTCTCCTGGTCAGTTCCGGCAGCTAGTGCCCCTGTGTGAGGAGCCAGGAATGCAATGAAATGCAGAAGAACCCTCGAAAACAAAGATGAAGAAAATGAAAGTAACTGCAAGATAAGTCATTAGAGCCAGCTTGGGATTTCCAAGTTCGAGGGAATCCTTTCTCAACTAAGGTTTCATAATGGGACAATAGTTGTCTTCAGTACAGCAGCAATATATCACAGTGCTGGAACAGTTGTTAAAAGCAGATAGTGCCTCTGTTACAGAAGAACAATTAAAAGCTTATTAAAAATTATTATAATTTATAATCCTTGGTTCCCTGATGCTGGAACACTAGACCTTAATCTCTGGGAACAACTGGCCAGGACTTTAAAAAGAAATCAGGCCCAGGGGAAATGAGTGCCCTTATCATCATGAACTATGTGGGCTCTTGTTCGAGCTGCACAATGCCCATTTCATAGAGAATTAAAAGCCTATAGAATGCCAGAAGGATTTACTACTGCCCCCGCCTCCTGAAGCAGAGCCTGTAGAGCCTGTAATACCTAAAGCCCTTCCATTGGAGGAAGTATTTCGCAATCCTCCACCTCTGATGTGGGAAGGCTCATCAACTAAAGCCTCAGTAATGGGGTCCCATGTCAGGCAAGTCATGTTAGAAGGAAAGCTTTTGACTTGCTCAGTTATACAAGATCAACAAGGTAATAAAATTAATGAGCCACTCTCCTTTAATACCTTTAAAGAAATAAAGAAAATTTGGTTACCAAAGAGATCAAAGAAGAAATAAAAAACATCATGGCAATAAACGACAATGAAAACACAACAATCCAAAATTTATGGGACACAGTGAAAGCAGTCTTGAGAGGGAAGTTCACAAATCTACAGGCCTATCTCAAAAAACAAGAAAAAATGG